AATAAAAATATATAAGTTAGATTTTATATGAATCAAAATTAAAATGGAAAATTTGTATGACATTTTTAAAGAATAAATTTTTAAATTAGTCCTTATATTTTATGAATAAGATATTTTAGTTTTTAAAAATTTACATTTTTAATGTTATAGTCTCTAATTTTATAAATAGGCATTTATTTTAATATTTTTACTTTATTTTCACTATTATTTTATTTTAAAAGAATAAAGTGAGTATTATTTTATAATATCAAGAACTAATGATAATTTTTAAAATATCAAAAATAAAAAGTTTGATTGATATAGTTTTAAGAACTAATACAAAAATTTATTTTTTAAGTATTTACGTGATCATTAAATAACTTATTACGATTAAAATTTACTCATCTTATTATCACGTTGAAAAACCTTCTCACTTGATGTACACATATCACAAACTTATATTATATGCACCTGTGCATGTTTTCTTTCTTAAAAAAATTTGAGTGAATTTATATTATAGTTGGAAGTTCAAATGGAGCTATCTTGCTAAACAATGGGATATGACTAAGTGCATGAATTGGTGTGTAGTTCTTTTAAGTGTTAGAGAATCGATGTTGTCATTCGATTGAGAATTAAAGTTAAGTTTATAATTTTTAATTAAAATTAAAACTGTATCTCTATAATGTGCATCAATATTTAATATTGACTTTTATTACATAAACTATTAAGATAAAATTTTAAATTTAATTAAAAAATACAAAAAAAATGCATAATATTATTAAAGGTCGAGTAAGTGTTAAAGGTTAAGAAGAAAATATTTCGAAATAAGCCTAAGAGATGAATTTTTCGATAGAAGTTTTGAAAGTAAACATTCTGATGAAGACCCAAGAAATGTGAACAGTGAATCTGAAGGTGTTAATGTCAATAAAAGTTTAGGACATGAATTTTGTAATAAAGGTTTGAAAAAAAAAAAAGATTCAAAAATCTTTACATTCACATTCTTGCATTCATCGTACATTCATTATTCAATGATTTATTTTTTCTTTTTATATTTTATTAATTTTTAAAATAAAAAAAATGAATGATAGGCATTTTTTTCTCTCTCTCTCTCTGACCGCAGACAATTTATACTCTTAAAAATACTTATATTTTCTTGCTTCATTCTAAAACAGGATTTGATATATATATATATATAGTTTTATTATCCTATAAGTGTGCAGATTTATTTGGAAAGTAAAAGTGAGAGTTAGCCATAGCATAAGCGCGTTTGGTCACCAATCACTTTTTAACGTAAAAAAGTTAAGGTGGCCTTCCCTTGATGATTTTCATCACGTGCATTTTATTTGAAGAATAAAAAGAATCAACTGTTATTAGTGAACATAACATAAGTAGGTAAAGTAACACAAGAAATTGAAGCACGTGTTTTATCCTGAATGCAAGTATATATATGTTCATTCATTAAAATTAAACAATTTACTTTCGGCTTTCATATAATTCACACGAGCTATCTCCTTTTTCCCGTTTGTGCAATCGCTTTCAAGATATCACCAATGATCAAATCGTCTTAAAGTGAATCAAAGTTTCCCTTTGTTTGAAATGTTGTGAACTAATTTGCATTTTGAAACTTTTAAAGAAAATCCACGTCCCAGTGTTTGGGTAATTAAGGAGTATCTTGAGAATTTCTAAGTTAATTTAAAGGTTCGTTTTTTTTATAACATTAATTTTTTATCGTTAAAAGTATGTCATATGTGCTCGAATTAAATACTATTTATTATTTTTATATAAAAATGTATGCACCGTGTCAAAAGTTTATTCTTAGCCTAAAAAGGAATAAAACCCAAGTTTTGAATTTGTAAACTGGAGACACCAATTCCAATGCGAACAACTTCTGAATATTGAGTATTTTAAATTTTTAAATAAAATAAGGATGAAGAGCAGGAATATATAGACTTAACATGTTTAAGTTTTTAAATAAATGAATAAATATATACTTTCAAAATATCATAACAAAAATAAATATATTCTAATTATAATAATAGTATTATTATATTTAACTAAAATTTGACGGTTAAAAAGTCTAAATTTTACTGATTTAATAATTAATTTTAACCTATGGATTTGGTTGTTATATTTTAATGCTGTAAAAATTAAATTAAAGTGATTTTAAGCGTTATTTAATCTGGTTACTTTAAATTGTATTGGAGTTGATTGAAATAAAATATTTTAAAATAAATTTTTTACTGTTTAAATTTATGAAAAAAATTGAAATTATGACCATACGTATTTTGTTTTAAGTTGCGTATTAATTAAAAACACATTAAATTTGTATTTGATTTTTTTATACTCTTACTTTAGAATTTTATAAGGTATTTAAATATTTTCTTTAAAGAACGTTGGTGTAATTAGAACTATAAGGTGTTTAATAAAAAATAGGTATTGTAAAAATTTTTAAATTGTATTATTTTTTAGTTGTTTATAGATAATGACTATCATTATTTTAGAATTTTTATATTAATTATCTTGTTGTGATTGTGTATTTTATTTCTCTAATTGAAATAAATTCTTAAAAGAAATTATATTTTTTTAACAATAGTATAAAGAGTTATTGGCTTGGTAATATTGCATTCTCATTATGTTTTATGCTTGACACATTGTTGGATATTTCACACAAAAACAAGTGTGGTATTATGAGATTATTATTTTAGAAAGGTAATTTCTTTTGCAAAATTTGTGTACTCTATATTTTTATAACATTATTTATACAATTGCAATGCCAATTTTTAAAGTGTTGTAAAGTTTGATATAAAAAAGTTTAATAAAATAATTAATTTTAATTTTAAATACAAATTAAAGATGTGCTGATATAATCAATATTACATATAAATTTAAGTCATTACTTTATCACATGATATTACTATGCTATCATAAAAAAAGGATAAACTCTTATTAGCTGGTTCACGATTGCTTGTTCATATTGATACAAAATGTGCAATGATAATATATAAATATTAGATAATGTTGATATTGATTTAAGGTGTGTAGGTATGTTATATATTATTTATGATATATTATAATTTTTTTTGAAGCATGATTGTAAGTATAAATAATGCAAGTAGAAAATTTGAGTATTTCAATCAAATAAAGATAGTTAGAATTAATTGAAATAAAATATTTAAAAAAAATAAAATTATATATTTACTTTAAATCTTTTATTTCAATTTACATTAGTCAAAAATATAGTATTTAACTTTGTCTTATATTCTTGTTTTACGTGATATGAGTTATTTATATATTTACATTTATTTTAGTGAATGTGAGTATATTAAAGTCATAATTAAGAGAAAATTTGTATATTTATTTTTTAATTATTTTTATAATTTTAAGTTAATTATTATATTATAACTGTTTTTTAATTTTTAAAAAAATTTCAAGAAAAATCTCTTATTTTTTTTCAAGAGATTATCATTTATCTTTTCTTAGATCTAAATCTTCTCTAGTTATGGTAAGAACTGAACATCCAATGTTATTTTTATTTAAATAAAAATGAAAAATAAAAAAATTATACAAAATACACTTATTTTTCATGAAAAAGAGGAGAAGGGAACAGAGTGTGGCAGAAAGAAAAATTGGGGATGGAAAGAGTTAATGATATAGAAATAAGAGTGGAAGAGTTGAGGATAGAAAAAAGAGAGGAAACATGTATGAGTAGAGTAAGGGTGAAAAAAGGAAGAAGATGATTGGATGAGTCGGATAGAGAGTAAAAAAAGTTGAGAGAGAAAAAGAAAAAAAAAATAAAATAAAGAAAGAGATGAGTTGAATATAAAAGTTAAAAAAAAATGTTAAACATAAAATAGAGAGAAAGTAAAAAATTAGAAAAAAAAAAGAAGATACAAAATTTATTTAAAATAAAAAAAAAATTAACTTAAGTAAACTTTACTTAAAATTTTTGTTGTTATTTTCTTCGTTATCTAGTTCTTACCACAAAAATAGGAAATAGGGATCCGTCCTTCCTATGCGCCTCCTCACTTAATTAATACTATGTCTATTACATACTTTCTATAATAACATTTTTTTCATACCTAAAATATCTAATATCATGCTATATTAAAGAATGCATTTAAATATTTTTATAAGATAAACTATTTTTTTAATTATATAATTTTTAAAAAATGAACTTTTTAAAAATTATTTAACATTTTAAAAAATAACTAATTATAAAAGATGTATTAAAAAATCATTTTGCTAGCATTTTTCTTATTAAAAAAATATATTGCCTCTGTTTTTATTATTTAGAGAGATTAAATATATATAAAAATTCAATCATTTTATCGAATTAATTGCTGATATTTTTAATTTATTCTTTATTCGTGTGTCTCTTTTTAATTCTTAAACCACTTAATATAAATATTTTATATAAACAAAAATACATTAATAAAATAATAATGATTAAAACTACCTTCAATTTTTATATAAATAAATAAAATAAATTATTTTTCTCACCAGATTGATGAATAAAAACTTACGTAATATGTATTTGCATTACACACTATATTTTCATTTCATTAACTAGCTATATTTTCTCGATCGAAAGAAGCCAAGAAAAAGTCTCTTTCTTCATATTACACACTTGATTTGTCTACACAAAGATCAATCTGGATGATAAATTCTTAACCTATAGGTATAGAAAGGGGAAAATTTGCTTTGTAACATTAATGACACTTCGATAATAAAATTCATATATTGTTAAAATGGAAGTACTTACTCTCATATCAGTTGGGTCATGTAAACAATTAAAAATCAATTTTACATATTATATCGTATATAATATATATATATATATATATATATATATATATATATATATATATATCTTAAAAATACACTTACAAAAACATTTTTGGTCTCACGTAAGCTTTTGTTTCTAACACTAGGATTAGGTAAGAGTTTTTCCAAGGAGGATACAAGAAGGTGAAACCCCCAAAACCCAATTTTAGAAAAGGTAGTTGGAGGTTCAATTTTGATCACCTTTGGTGCCTAGTTAACAAATACACTTGTATGCAAGGAGAATTATTCCAAGCTTTGGAGTGTAACCTAAGGATGTCCCTTGCTTTCTCTTTCAAATACGAAGCACAATCTGCTTGCATCACCATGCAAAGCTTTGACACGGCTCCGACCCTCAACATCTCTAGAACAACCTCATTTGATGCTGAAAACCTTGCAATCACTGAAAATATATGAATTGCTCTATCATCAGTTGCAGCAGAAACCCTCAAAACCCTCTTTGAAACCAATGCTATACCCGCAGCATGTCTTAGAAATTGCTCTCTTCCATCAGCACAAGAACAAAGATGTGCCAAAAGGTTGAATATGAGTTCTGTTATGTTCTTCTCTGGCTTTTCAAGATCAAGCTCTATGAGTTCCAAAACTGCACCTGCTTCAACAATCTTCATTCTGTTTCTACCCAAAGAACTAGTTCCTATGAGCACATGCAAAGCAGACTTAATAGCTTGTTGAGAGAGTGCTCTCTTTTTTAATACCTTAACAATTTCTTTGAAGAATTCAAGGCTTAAACTCCCTAACAAGGTTGAATCAGCAACCTCAATGGTCAACTTCAAAAGGGGCACTGCTTCATTTACCAACTTGATGTTGTTATTTAAATGAAGCTTCAAAACCCAAGTCAAAGAGTTGATGAAGTCCAAGTTTTCTCCAACAAGATTTTTCATGTTGTTGTTGGTCATCATCCTCATGGCTTGGTTATTCCAAAGAAGATGAACAATTCTCATAGCTTCTTCTATGCAAGTGGTGTTCCCTTCTTTGAAATTCTTGTTAATCACCTTCACCATGGCCTTGGCTACCCCTTCCTCATTCATGCACGTTCTGTTCCTCTCGCTTTCTGTAGCAAGGGCATGCAACTTCTCCAACGATGTTTGGTAACAATGAGGAACCTCAAGATCCTTCACAAGCTTCTGAAGTTGGATATTGTTTAAAGGGGTTTTTGGAGTTGGGATTTGATCAACACCATTGGCTGTGTTTGATGAACACCATGCTTGGATTAGCCTTCTAAGTGTGTGGTTAGGGGTTAAGTATTGAGAGCTTCTTGGCAACGGTTGTTTGGTAACTGGGCACACACAATCTTTGGCCTTCAGCAACCATCGCTCTATGCTTTCTCTGTCGTATGTTATGCCCGTCATAGCTGTCACTGGGTCCTTCATGATCTGAAACGAAATGGGACACACAAAATATTGAGGAATTTCAATTTCAGCCATTATGTATAAGAAAGAAAGAAAGAATAAATGAAATGATTGTGTTTTCGGTGAGCAGGAAGAAAAGAGATGAATGTTTCTTTTGGTAAAGGATAGTGGTTTAATAAATATTAAGGTTTGAAGAGGTTCATATTTATATATACATATATTATAGTGTATAGAGGATTTCTAGATAAAGCCATAAGGGTGGATAATACACATTTTTTCCTAGTTTTACCGGTCATAGATGTTTAATGTAGTACTTTATGTTTTTGTCAATGTGGCGTTGGGTGGTCAAACCTTGTAGTAGCGGCTTGAAATACATTATTGTGTGGCTTTTGAATTTTCGATGCATGAATGATTTTTCTAAGTGTGCATCATGCACTGCCACGTTGCATGATCCTATTGGCGGTTTGTATGTTTGGTCGACGTCTACTAATACTGCTGCTTTTGGATTTTTTCGTTTCAAACTATATCGAACGAAGCTTCTGAATTTGAGGTGCGTGCGTGGTGGCGGAATTAGATAGAGGAGGCTAATTGCAAAGCGTTGTTATATTTTTATATTATTTTCCTATAATTACTGGCTAATTTTTTTTTTTTGTGATAAGTAATAAAAAATATATAACTAAGAATAATTTTTTCAAATCATTTATATATGCGATGAACATAAGTTATACTCTTTCGAGAAAGGGAAATTATGGATAGATCAGATGTTTCGACAACTTTTTTATTCAGTTTTGCTATTAAAAATTGATACCATGTATAGTATTATATATTATTAATTTTATTTTTTATACATACATCCAATGAATACATCCAAGAATTATCCCTTTGAGATGTGCAAAGAATATTTTTCTCTTATTCTTTGATCTGTGTATATTTTTGACCCAATTGGAAGCATCATTGTTGGTTTAGTGCGAGTTTAAACTTTGTAAGTTTCAAGGAAGAGAGAGGTGATAGAGGATGAGTTTGAATTCAACCTGAGCACAAGAAGAAGGGCCCCAATGTCGGTTTATTGAAACGAAATTGACAAAGTGGAGAGTTATTCGGTGATGCATATAATTATAGTATATAATATCATATTAAACGCCAGTTTGAGCCAAATAACGCATAGCCAAAGAGATTAGTTTAAAAGATAATAGATAAACGGCAACATCGATATGAGTCCACGTCAGGCCGGCTTAAAATTGTGGGTTTGATAAAAACCCCTTGCATGTTTATTTGTTGATTCAGGCTTCGTTGCCTTCGAGTTTTATCTAACATCATATTTTAATGACCGAGTCAAACATGATGTTGCAATTAATGTAAGATAAAATAAAGAGAAAACTTACTAATTCTAATTAGTTAATTAAATAATCTGATCTCCACAGAATAAAAGTGATGCATAATTTTCATATGATGTGGGTGCTTCCGCGCTTGACTACTGTAACTTGCAGTAATTAAGGAGATTATCATAATATTTAGCTACACTGTTTTCTCTGGGTATTAGTGATTTAGGTTATTGAAGAAGAACTCATTCGTTGTATTAAAATTATAGAAGTATAACAATTTTAACCTCATCAAATGTTAAAGTTGGCATGATAGAATGAACACATGAAAGACGTGTGTTTACCTCTTCCATGATGGTGGTTAGAAATGGAAAGGGGAATAGTTACAGCGTCATTTTGGGGATCTTATTCTTAAATGCAAAGGACCATTGAACCTTTACGACCAGCTAGCGTTTCCCTTATAGTTTGGTGTTTGTAGGGTATGAATGTTCAGAAATGAGCATGCATTCTCAACCCCATAAAAAAGTATGTGTTAACGCATAACTTCAACTTTCTCATTTTTAGGTTAGATTAAGAGTATCGATGGGGATGGCCATCAGTATGGTCGCACTCGCGACAATAACAAACTACAATTGCCATTTTCATATCTAAATTATACAGGTAATTTTATAGTAATTTAAAGATTAAGAATGTTTTTTATGCATAAAATAATTATCACTGTTAATATTATATTAAACATGTATGATAAATAATGAGAGTTAATAGTTTATTTTAAAAAACATAAATATTTTTAATTTTTAAAATAATCATAATTATTAATTTAAAAAAGTCGGTTAACCTGATAAAAAAAAGTAATATAATTTAATTTGAATCAATTTTAAAGAATTTTAAACACAATTCTATTCGGTTAAACGGAATTTAAATTAAATTGAATTGAATAATTTAATTTTTAAAAATATATTCCTAAAATAAATATGTTGAAGTTTCATAATTTCAACACTACTTAGTCCTAATAAAAGCTTTCAAAAATGTCAAGCACATAGTATCTAAACTAAGCATCGAAATAAAAGTTTTCCTTAACTCCTCTTGTTTTTATTTTTAATACAATTAGAAGTGATAAATAAATTTTTATATAATTTTTCCATATTAATATATTATTTTTAATTAACACTATTTTTTATATAAACATAAAAATTATAAGAATATATAAGGTACAGCGATAACTTCAAATTAACATTAAATAGTAAAATTATGAACATATTAAAATAATAAAATATAGTAAAATCTAACTTTTAGTATAAAGTTATAAAAAATTAATTAGATATTATATTTGTATAAATATATAATTATAAATGAATAGTTAATTTTATAACTAAATAATAAAAATATTTAAAGATAATCTAATTTTTTTTATCTAATATGCAAACATGTGTTATATTAAAATCTAAAATAAAAAAATATTTATTATAAAATAAGGACATTATAATGTGTAATAACAACAGAGATTATTTTTATAAAGAATTCAAAAATTTGTTTATGAACTCTTTTTAAATAAAGATCATATAAAAACAAATTTTGTATAAGAATCAAATTTAGAATGTATTTGGATTCTTAGATATTTAGGAAGAAATTGGTGAAAGAAAATTAGAAGAGAAGAAAAGAGGAACATGTACTGAGATGAAACAAAATAAGGAAGAAGGAATTTAAAAAAAAAAAAGAGAGTAGTAAAGCCTACCAAAATAAAAATAATAATAAACTGGGAACCGATTTAATCAGTATAACTCTGATTTAATTACAATTAAATTAAACTTATGAATTGGGAGTCAATAATTTCACAAAAAAATTTAATGAAAAGACTGATTTTAAAATTGTTGGAAGAAATTGGGGAGAAAGGGTGTATTTTTTATTTAAAATTATTAAATTATATGTATATATATTTAAAAATTATAATATAAATTTAAAATATTTTTTGATTATTTGTAATATAATATTATTTTTTATCATTTTTTTACTCAATTAGATATATATATATATATATAGATATATATATATATATATTCTTTCAATTTAACTTATAAAAGGCACCTTTTTTAATGTATTTTAATTTAATTTATTTATTTTTGTTGACCTAAACACACAGTTAAAGTAACGATATTTGAGTAACTTCTGTGTGTAATAAAAAGAGATAGAAAAGGACCTTCTTTTTATAGTTTATATTGATATTTTTCGTATTATAACTCAACTAGTTAAGTAATAATACCTGTCTTAGATTATAACTCATGCATGAACGTCATAATGACGGATATGAATAGCTACATGGCAACATGACTATGATCATATAAAACTTTTATAAATATTTTTATCATTGAATATGTAAAAAGTAATATTAGTTTGTAAACGTTTTATACACCAATTGATTCATAACATAAATAAATGTTTTTATTTGAAATAAATAATTAAACTAATGTGATAACTAGTAACTATCATATGAATTGGGAAACTTACAACTGAACTTACATCATTGAATATTTTTAGCAAAGAAATACAATTAAATTGTAGGGATTTAAGTGAAAGTTTATCCCTTGATTTTGTTATATTAATCCTTTCTTCTATGGACGGTGAATAATAATAATTTTTGAAGTAAAGATTAAAAAAGAAGTATCATATATAATTTTCCATTTGTATATTAAGAAATTGTGTTATATCATGCTTTCTTAACGAAGAAAGAGAAATCACTAACTAGATTACTTTAAACAGCAATATTACCAAACATTGTTATTATTATTAATATCTTGACAATACTAAATTAATTCTCATTATAATCATTTTGATTAAGATTTAATTTGTTGTAAATAATTGGTAATTTAAAATTAAGAAAATGACAAAGGGAAAAAAAAAAGAAAAAGGGGGGCTATATGTGTGCAAGCGGCGAGAAAGAGACGAATCTTGTATATACAAAACATGTTCAAATCTGATATTTATTTTTTATAACAATTTTATATTTATTTATTTCATAATAGAGATTAGGCACTTGTTTAATTTTTCAATGTCTAAATAAGAATAAACACAAAAATTAATTCTATGTTAAATTATATCTTTTTCGTTGTACGGACGTATTTACTATTTCACTTATAATTTATTTTGCTTTTTGTTATTACGGGTATTTAGGATACATTTGAACGATTGGTTGTTTATTTAATAAAGTTTGTTAAATAATAACTTATATCATAGATTTAATCATGTAAGATAAATTAAAATTAGTTTATTTTAATAATTTATATTAAAATATTTATTAAAATTAATAAATAATTATAAGAGTTATAATTATTCATAAATCTTTCAAATAGAACTTTAAAGTGTTACGTAGTTGATAATTAAATATTACTTTTATAAAATTTTAAATTGAAAAATCATTATAATGAATTTAATTCTCTCAATAAAATATTCTATACATTTAATTATAAACTAAATCTAAATTAAAATATTTAAGGGACTTAAGTAATAAATATTTATTTCATATTTATCATCCTCTGGCTCTATAATATATTTCACAAAAAGTACAAAAAAGTCTTACATTGATTTTTTCTGGACCGATTATTATCCAAAAAAAAACAATCTGTGACACGGTAAACTTCTAATTTAGAATTAATTTTAATTTGTTGACAAAATGAATCATTTTATTTTACTAATTAATAAAATATTGTGACATGCATCTTCGTCGAAAGAAAAAAGTTACTTAGGAATGTGACTTTTAGCTCAAAGTCAAGTTTAAACACAAAATTAATCTTATAATATCACATCTAAATGAAGTTTTTACAAAACTTAGAAATGCTTTAAATTGTCATCATTCCATGTAATGCATATTTTGTTTGTATGGTTTTCAGATTCAAATTTTGTATTCATGATTGTGCCCAAGAAAACAAAAAATATAGGTATTGTTTGAATTCTATGCATATCAATACGAGTAGATCTTGCTATGTTCTACGTCATAATTTAAAACATGTATATTGAAATACAAATACATGTAGAACCGACATCATATGATATTTTATATCAAGAAAATGAAATGAGATAGATATGTAGTTATTTTCATGGATATTTACACTTTTTCTCATGTTATACAGTGAGAGAGATAACATACCTGTCGATTCACGTAGAGCTCAATACAATTATATAAAAAACAAGAATTTCAAAAGTGACACGACAATGTGTCAACAGAATATTCGCTCAAAATACATAAATTAAAACGACCCACAGAAAATCAAGTAAGAGAAAACAAAACAAGAAAATATATATACTTTAAATTTAATAACTTTTATCATTGTAATTAAACCATTCACGCCAAATAAGATTTTTTTCCTATACCTCATTTATCGCCGATTAAATGAAAATTAAATGATAGCAAGGTGACATAAAAGATGAAATAAATAAATAATTCTCATAAAAAAAAGTAACAAGGCCAAATTCCAACAAAGATGTAGGTTACTTCTGTAAAGTCTTATGGAATTTTATTTATTCATGTATTTATTGGTCGATTGATGCAAATTTAGTTTTGGATCTTCCAAGCCACTAATAATTTTGGGCTTCTTGTAGCCCAAATTAAAACACAATTAAGTAAAAACCTCCGAATCAAACTGTTCTCAATAGCTATAACCTACCGAAGGCCCAATTTAGGTCGTAAAAAATTATGGTCTGGACCGAAAAAAAAAAAACTATAGTTACCCAGAAAGATTAAAGAAACAATTCGGATTCCCGTTCCCTTCGTTATAATTATTTTGCCATCATCTGTACTTTACTTATTTTCCGAGTTTTATTCTTGTATAAAAAATTATACATCAGGGAAGTCTTATTAGATGTAAACTTCAAAAGGCAATTTTTTTTTTTTTGGGGTACATACATGAACATTATTTAAATGAATGATTTTAATGACTAAGTCGCGAAAAAAGAAGAAAAAAAAAATACACTTAAATCTGTGAGGTCAAATTTGCGGCTTCGCATAGATTTGAATCTCCCTATACTGGTTTTGCGCTGATTATTATCAAAACCTCAATTAATCTGTATATGCACAGGAATGAATTCTATCATAGGACCAGGTTGTACGATTCGATGAGCGACTGAAAAGCTGATCCATTGTCTCATGGTTTCATGCTCAACGTGAATTATTTTGGAAATTAAGGCTATCTTGGATGAACACCGTAGAATACAATAACCAATTAGTGATGAAATATCTATCTCTCTCTCTGGGCTTCGGAAAATGAGGTTACAGGTTAAAACAATTAAAGCAGTACTATAAGATATTAATCGTCACCCCAAGCCTCGTCTCTTAATTTTTGCCTGGTAATAATACGTTCTCTCCGAGCGTCTTCTTGCTTCCTATATTCTCGGGATCCAACGCTTGTTGAACCCAATTTTAACCCCATACCGTGAGCAATCAGCCTCTGCGCTGCTTGGGCTGAAGTTTTTGGTCTTTGTCGTGGCGGTTCCAGGTCTGAATGAACAATATAACATGAAAACCACGTAAGACAATATAATATAGTCATTTCCATTAACTGACTGACAAGTATAATAATAGTCACTTCCATTAACTGATTGACAAGTGCAATAAATATGGTATTTGCTTTGCTTTGATTCAAAGAGGTTGTAAAAAAGTTGTACATTACTGATGAAGCAACCTGTTTAACAAAATAAATTGTAATTTCCTTTTGGAAGTGAAAAATCATAGGGACTATGATTGTGCAGTAATTTAATTAATTGTAAAGGCTATTTAGAGGGTCCCAAAATACGTCCATAATTATGGTAAAGATATCTGACAGGCACAAAAACAGGAACCAGACAGTTTAAAAAGCCCAAAAATACTTCCATACACAAAATGGACAAAGCACAACAGAAAATATTACGATGCATGAAAAGCTTATTGCCACAAAGTTGACAGAGAATTTAGAAGTCGAACAAAGCATTTTAACAAGACTATCCTCAGGTTTTCAATATTTCCATTTCAAAAGTAAATTCATCATGAGAAGAATTTTAATATAAATGAAAGACCTTCATGTAGCAGAAAGATAAACCAGTTAGTAAAGTACCTCTCGCTTTAATTAAACTAAGAAGTGTATCATCTTCATCAAGTATCCTCACTGTGAATGAACAACGAACACTATTTCGAGCCTCAAGTGCTGCATTATAAATGAATGGTACTGAATGGTTATGTAATCAAACTAAAGACTAGACATGAAAAAAAAATCCACCAAAATTGATGCAATATCAATAATAGAACATAGGGACTGATATTTCTTGTTGAAAAATCAAGTAGAAAATCAAGAGATAAAAGAAAATCCAACCTGTCCCCCCAAAAATGACAGAGAAAAGGTTATATAACAATATGTCATGCCTTAGCTTCTATACATTGGTGTAGATCAAGTGATCAGTGATGAGAAAATTGTTCAGGAGAGCATCTTTTTAGTTAAAGAAAATTGTAAACAATGTCAGCTACTGATGCCATACTCTGCATATATCATCTGCCATAGTTCTATAAGAATGAAAAGCATGATAATTTCCAAGCTAACTATTATAGAAGGACTGTGATATGCCCCCACCCCCATCATGTGTTTTTCAATACATGAAGACACGAGAAAGTTCAGAATGCCTTCCTTTTGAATAATGATAGTGTCATTTAAATAATATTGATCTTCAATTCTCATGCCAGTCAGATCAATGTAAATATCAGGTATCACCAGTTACAAAGTTGTTTACACAACATGCTTCAAATTAGAGGATGATGATGCCCAAGAGCAAGCTAAAGAGGATAATCCAAATAAGAGTTCAAGAACTAGTTTTCATAGGGATACATGTAGCAGTCCCCAAATATAAATGGTTACTATGTCCAAAAGTCTCAATTTTAGTGGCAGTGTGGCACACAACCATAGTTCACCATCATAATGCATACACAAATAAACCTTGATGTATGTAAAAATTATGATGATATTACATAAGAAAAACAATAATAAAGTTAGGTAACTTTGTAATTACCAACTGAAGGTGTTCGGAATACTGCAAGTGCAACTGTATCATTGACCCAGCGAATCACAAATCCACGATCTTTGAAGTCCTCAAAAAGCTTTTCCAGCTCTGTTGTCCTTGTACTTGGTGAAAAGTCAGCAAGCACAAGAACATGACTGGTCCCATATTTTGCTGAATTGAGTAAACAATAATTTTAACTCAAGTGTTTTTAATACAACTAATTGCAAAGAAAAAAGTTAGCAGGAAGTATAGATAATCTTTTGAATGTGCATATAAACATTGGAAAATGAAAATTGTGATCAGGAGTATCAACTAGCCACACTATAAAACATTGCATGTGCAAAATAATTGGTGTGGCAAAAAAAATACATGGGTGCACAAAATAAGCACGTAACTAGTTTTTACTGAAAAATTGAAATATCATGCGGCATCACTTACAGTTTTGCATCTCTCTTTTGTCTTCTGAACTACAGTGAGTCTCTTCATGCTCAACATCAATGACCGAGCGATCAAGTAACTGATCACTATAAAGTTCTTGTTTTTCATACGAGAATGTTCCTCTTCCACGCCGCTTTGGGTTTTGACTTTTGGTGTTCTCTAATTTAAGATTTGATATTCCGGATAAACAATCTGACGACAGTACTGTGGGCAGTAACTCATCAGGTTCGCGATCAGCCATTGCTTCCCAGTCTGTAATATTTCAATTTCAGAATATCATACACATTGCCCGATTGCAATAACTAACATCTTTGATATAAATATAATTACTCAAAAGATGTCTTATGATATTTTTTCATGTTTTATAACAGTTTAAGATTTTCTACCATCTTTTTTACCAATTATTTGATATATGAAGAATCTTATCACATGTTCTGCTATATCCTTCTAGTTTTCTTCCTAATATTCTTCCTACTACTTTATAAAGTAAGCATTAAATGAAAAAGGGCATGCATTTATTATCTTGAAACATAAAACATATTTAAGACTTTCTTCATTATTAATTAAAAAGTTTCGGAAAAATAAAAGGTATAAAGATTTAATTTAACATGATAACTTAGGCAAACATTCCTACATCTACAAATGAAAAGAGAACAAATCCACTACCATAACCAGATTACAATATACTGTCTCTGTATGAACTCTGGATATCATATATCCTACAACCATCTTAATTCTAACCATTACCCTACATCTCTACTAAACCATGTGAGTATATCCACCATTCAAAACTCATCTCTGCTTCTCTCATCACACTCTTCCTCTCCTCAACCATTCAACTTTCTATTTAAATCTTCACACAACTGCACGCGGCACGTACCTTCATCGGAAGAAACCAATTCCTCACGCTTTTCAAGACGACCTTCAGAGAGAAGCGAAGCGCGATTCGAATCCTCTGAAGACAAACCAACATTGCTTGGTTTAACAACCACCTCCTCCTTCGAATCTTTCACCACTCGTTCACCGCTGAAAATAATTCAAAATACCATAACAAATCAATAACTCGAAGAAAACAGAACCGTAAAACGATCCCAGACGAAAATTTCACACACATACTAAGACATAGATATAGATATAGAGGGAGAGAGAGGTACGGAGAGTGAGAATGGTGAAACTGTTTGAGGAGGTAAGCGCGAGATTGAAGTTGATCGGCTTTGAGAGAGAAGCCTTTGGAGGAGTAAAGGTTGGCCAATTCGGAGAGAGCAGAGGCTAATTGAAGCGATTCGGAAGGGTTTAGGGTTTGGACGACCGATTCAAGGAGTGTGATGGCACCTTCCACTTCCCCTGCTTCTACCAGGTCTTCCACCTCTTCGCTCCAATTTTCTCTTCCTTTCTCTTTCTCCATTCCTTTCGATCCCGATTTTCCTCCGTCTCTCTCCGATTCTCACAATCCAAACACGTTCGTTATTTTTCTACGCAATGAAAAAAATCAACGGGCAACTACTTTTGTTCCTCTGCTTCTTCTTCTGTAGTTCAATTTCTCGTTCAACCCTAAGCCTGTGTTTCGACGGAAAGAAAGAAGTGCAAGGACGAATGAAATCTTAATTTTTCTTTTTACAGTGTTTTAAAATATTGTTTTTTCTTAAAAATATTTTTGTTTCTGTATTATTAGTATTTTAAATTTTTATATTTGTGCGATTGCATCTACAAATCTTTGAAAGTGCACTCTCTTTTAGCAAATTTAGGTGAATAATATTCTACGAAATTTCTCTCTTGCAATATGCTGACAATACGACGTTAGCTAGCGAGATAGGTTTTGATAAATTATGAATCAATATTAAGATACTTTAAATTGGTCTGATATAAAATTGAACTATTTTTTCTTAACTTCAATATGAAGAGTGATTAGACACTTATTAGCTCTAACACTAAAAAGCTATAGACTTAAGTTACTTAACCTCTATTTTTTATGTGTTCAAAAGCATAATGGCTTTTTGGGAAGGAAAATCAACATTTCTATGAGAGAAAGTGACTTTCTTAAAGGTAGTCCTCACATCACAAGCCCACTAATATTCTTTTTCTTTGTTTTTAAAGCCCTGAAAAAACTTTTTAAAAAATTGATTAAATTTCACAGAATTTTTTTTTACAGGGTGGATGTGGATCAAAGAGAATTGCACGAGTTAAATGGGATAACGTTGGGTTTAGGACTATTTAGTCTATGTTTATTATGAAAATGATGAGTGGCTATAGGAGCAAGGTGGCTCGGGTTCATATAAATGCAGTTCACTAGTTCAACATATGCTTTATTTCAAAATTCTCCTATGAAGCACTACACCTATTATGTATGTTTATTTTTAAAGAGACTTTGTAAGCGTCATCTCCCACTCAAGTGGCTAAACTTTGCATGGCATGCCTTTCTATATATTGTTGCCTATGAAATTCAATTTATTCAAAAGGAATGTCTTATCATCTCTTCAAGAATCAATTTGCTCCTTTTTTCAAGAATCTTCCTATCATCTTTTTTCTTGTACAATTTCTCATCTCGTGTGGGGGACTTTCTTATCCTTGGCTGAGTTTCCTTGTAGTCTATGTATATATATATAGTCTATTGGGCCTGATGGACATGAAACAGCATTTTTTTTAATGAAAATTTAAAGGGCTTACTTCGGTACTATTTTTAAAAATAGTTGTCAATTATAAGAAGTCAAGTTCAACCATGCACATCATATGACTATGAAGATGATCAATTAGGATGTTGAATGAGAGAATCAAGTGGAGTCCACTCATTCTTTTTTATGGGTTATGATTTGTGATACTCTTTACCTTCTCTCCCATGATCATTGCAGTGTGACATAACAATATTCCAAAGTTAGGAATGTCTAGACAACAACATTTGCCAGCTAGCCAAGCATAGCAATGAAGTGGTTCTTGCAAGTTCAAAATTGTGTTTTGAATAATAGTAACTTTAATCATGTTCCTCTTTTCTAACAATTTGGGAAGAGAGTACGTCTCACATCTGATCATTTTCACGGTCTCAATTATATTTTTGTAAATTAATTTGAAGTACAATTTTATTACTCGTACTTATTGTTAAGGGGGAAAATAAAAGAAGAAAAATACAAATAGGAAGAAGATGTTATACTCCAAGAGAAGACAAACCTACTCTGCTTACTGAACCAGTTTGCTACAAGTATATCTCTCTTCCTACCATTGTCGTGCATTAAATTAGTTGTTAAAAAGTATCAGCAGTAATTAGTTTAATTTTGAAATCATAAAAGATATTTATCTCGAAAAACATTAGAAAAACAATTATTTATTTCAAATTAGAAAAATAAGATTTAAAATTATATATATTTAGTAATTTCAAAGTTTAAACTATATTTAGAGTTCACAATGTTAAAGAGATATTTGATATGCTTATTTATTACATTTAACGTGTTACAGATTCAAAAATTTACCCATCTCTTTTCCTAAAATAAGTGTAAATTATATATAAGTATTTTTTGAGTTAAAATTTTTTACCTATATCAAACTTAAACATATTTTTTCCCTAAAATTTTGTTAACCGAAAACAATATGCCTTTTTTAATATTAAAATCTACATAAAACTATTTATAAAAAATAAATTATCGTGAAGGATTGGTCAAATGGAGCAATACAGGTTATCTTACATGACATGTTATACATTCAAATTATTTAAATTAAAAGGTTTAATTTTTTAAAAACAAAACTCTCATTTTCATTAATTTAACATAATTATATTTATTAAAACTTGAACTTCAAATTATATGTTAAATTAAAATAATTATTTATCAATTAACCTACGTAGTAAATAATATTTTTTTTTTTCAGTATCAAGTATTAAACTTAATAAAATTATACTTCTAGTAATTCTTTATAAAAGTATATTCTATTAACTTATCTTTTTAATTTTGTAACATAACTTTTACTCTAGAAACACTTGTAGCTCAAAGTTAAATGACATTAAATATCAAATTTAGTAAAAAGATAAGGTCCATCAAGTTTTGTATAATTTAAATACTAATTAATATTTTATTATTTTATTATATTTTAATGATTATTATTTATGAATATTTAAATCATATAAATTATTTAAAAATTAATAATTAAATTGAAATAAAAATATTTAAAATGTTATTTTATTAAATTTAACATATAATATCAATTAATCTTAGTTTTATGTTAGTAAAACAAACACAGATAGATATATATATAGAGAGAGAGAGATGTGTGTATTATCTAAAACCTTTGATATTCAAAATCATAATAGATCTTGAACAGATTTTAAAAATTTATGTTTTTACGTCATTTATAATGAGCAATTATGTTTACACATAAAAAATTCTAAATCATTGAGATACTCTCAAACTAAAAACAATTTATTGTGTATCATTTAATATACTTTGAAAACAGATTTTAGAGTTGATGTTAATAAAATTTGAATAAAATATTTTACGTAATTGTATTCAAAAATTGTATATTTACTAATTGGGACTACCTTATTATTGACTGAGTTTTATTATATAAAAAATCACTAAATACCTTAGTTAACAATATAGATAAATATAATTTTATTTAATTTTATTTTTTTGCACACACACATAAACAATATTTTTAAAAAATGTTGTCTCAAAATAGTTGGAAAAAAAAAAGATCTAAACATTTACTTTTGCATGCATGCAACAGTAAGGCAACTAAAAATTTATGTACGCAGTACACCCCAGGTTTCATGCATCCCACTTACGTATTAAGTATATAACCGCACGCAATTGCCAATGCACGTAGAAATAAAGTGCGCACGTAGAAATAATTGAAGTTACAACGTAAACCCATAACTGCAATATATATAATATCTATCGAAACAAATCATTCAATTCCTTCTTTGTACCTTGCTACTTTCCAATACCATATACAATATACCTTCCCCAACTCAACTTAAACCATGTAATTAATAAATTAACTCAAAACATATAGAACTACTGAATTCTCTGTAAGTTCAGAATCTTATACTAGTTTCAATCATTGTAGAAAGTTTTCCCTCCCATGCAGGGATATCAGTGTACCAGCATGGCGATAAACGTAACATAAGCAGTGCTTGAGATTGTATAACAAGCATTCATAGATTATTGGCCTCTCCATTTTTGTTCTGATGCTGCTAGCTAAAGTCTTTTGCTAAGTTAGTGTGTAGAGAGAAACACTCTAAACTGCACTCTTTTAAGTGGATTATATTGCAGGAGCAGAAAATTAAGAAAATTTTCAGTTCCTCATTGGGTATATCACCATTATCCTAGCTAGCTAGTTAATCATCAATTCTCAGGCCACGAAATCACGCAACAACTGTGCAGCAGCAAACCTCTTTCTGTTTTGAATATCAATGCTCTCATAACTTGTGCCTGAATGAGAAGAAGGTGGAGTGTTAATGGCACCACAAAACTCATTTTCATTGTTTCCCATTCCTAAATGCATATTCTGTGAGAGGAATCCGTGTTGGGTTCCGGAGAGAGGGAGGGTCTCACTGTGAGGGAGTCCAAGAGTGAGAGAAACACCATTTCCATGAAACCTTGGAGCTAATTGCTCAGTGACATTAAACCTTCCAATGTCTTCCATTGAGAATGCTCCAAAACCCCCACCATGGTTTTCAATGCCAAACTTTGTGTTGGAATCTCTATTATTTGCCTCTCCGTGAGACTTCATTTCCATGTCCACGGAAAGTATGCTACCTGGAGAGTTCTGCAGTTCAGAAGCACTTCTGGGCCTTTTTGGACTTTGCATTCCAGGAAGATGGAAACCAGATTGGGATTGGAGAGACCCTCCTCCTCCTTCTCCTCCCATTGGAGATGTTGACATTGAATTAGAGTTAGAGATCTCAGTTGGAGAAGTGGTTTGGTTGTTGAAGCTTTCTGCTTTTGACTGAAAAACATTAATCTGATCAAGTCTCATGGCACTTGAATCTTGGGCAGCACTAGCTTCTGTCCATAACTCTTTGCCCGATTCTTTTGACCTATTAGTGTTGTTATCTTGGGAGCCATTATCCTCTTGCTTTACCTCCTCCAAGTACATTTCTTCAACCATTGGTTTCCAAAGCCGAACTCGGGCATTTATAAACCAGTTAGACACCTGCATTATATATAAACTTGTCAATGTTACAAACCTTTCATACTCATTTAACGTCCATTTATAGATATTTCCAAATGCACGTAAATTAATCTAACTATGATGAACAATCTTTTCTCTATTAGATCGATTCGAAAATGGACTTCCAAATTGAAAAGCAAATATAAAGCATCGGAATATACCTGACTTCGGGTAAGTCCCGTTTGTTTTGCAAGCATAACCTTATCGGAGTCCTTAGGATAGCTACAGGCCACAATTAGAGACTTCAGTTGAAGGGCAAGAATGTAATTTACTACCCAAGAAAAATTAGTTAGTATAGAAAATAACAAACTTTTTATTATAGAATTCTGAGTCTTAGTCATAATTTAGAAGACTAAATAAAATTTAATATATAATAAAAATTGTGTTATAAATCATACTATAAACATTAATAAAGGTTGATTGGTTGTATTCAATACTATGCATGATAGTAATAAGTTGGTTGATATCAATTACTTACGGGTGCAAAAAATGTTCAAAAAGCCAAGCACGAAGAATGGAAACAGCGCGTTCAGGCAAGCCTCTTTGGGGTCTCCAAGCATTGTGTTGAATCATTCCAAGCTGTTGTAATGCACGTTGTTGTCGTAGATGATGGTCAACGTACCTAAGCCTCGAACCTTCTACTTTAACTCCTAAGCAATCATCTTCACCCAATGTCTTGGTCGTTGTCCTGATTTGTGAAGAGATTGAATCTTTGAGACACCTGAATTGCTTTGAGATGGTCTTTAAAGCAAGGGCAGTGTAAGATTTTGCCGCCCCAATGCCCGCTACTTGCTCAAATGATGATATCACGATTTGCATTTGGTGATGATATTGTCGGTACCTTTGCTCCACCTTTCAAGTCCAAAACAAAACAAAACAAACATTAATTATAACAATCGCTATAGCTTATTATGATATCAAATATGGGTGAATATAAAATGTTCTCTTTTGTAGTGATCCATGAAATGGCATACTATATAAAGAAGGAAAATTGGACCCATACATATGAAGAAGGCCTTATTATTACTTTTAAAATTTAACCCTTTCCCTATCTCAATCAATAATGGGTCAGTGCAATAGTTCGGATTTTCAGATAAAAACCTGAAACTGACCCAAATGGGCCCAAACCCAAATTATTCTCTGACATTCAGGAGACCAAATGTGACTTTTTTCTTACTAGTTTCTTTTCCCCTCTACATATATTTTCACAAAACTATATCATAATGAGTGACAATCCTGTCAATTTCACAGTCCATCTTGCACTGTCACATTCTTCATTATTTTTTGAGTCCCCCAGTCAAAAGCTGAATCATACAAATTTTCTTCAACAAGTACTGAATCAACACAGCCTGAACAGATGAATAAGTGACAAAATCCACACCGCACCTCAATTAAGCAATAGTATGTTTAAGGACAGTACTTTCCCCAAGATCAAGCAAATGCATTGTAGAGTCATGAATCATAAATTCTATGAAATCAACACCAAATCCCAAAGCTTAAGTGGAAAAAGTTAAATAATCATTACATGCATGTGTATATATATATATATATATATATATACATACAATAAACGTACCTCATCCAACATGTTCACAAGCTTGGACTTCTTCATCTGAAGCTCTTGTCTCTGTGCAGTGCTGAGTTCAGCTCCTTGCTTGCCACCACTACTTTCTCCTCCACCACTCGAACCATCACCAACCCGAGAAGTGGATTCAATATTCCCTTTCATCTTCTCTCTCTTAGCCCCCTCCATAGATTCTTCCTCTTTGGAGATTCCCTTACCCACATTCACAACCTCATCGAGAACCTCCTGAGCCGCTTTCAAATACTTAGATCCTAAAACCACGCTATGCATACTCGAAACCCCATTGTTCACCACGCGCATATCATCCCCGCCACGGCTCGCCGGAGATATAGCCTGAACCTCCCCGGAGAACGACCGGTAAGGTGTGTGTTGCGATGAAAGGCTTAGTGACAATTGGTTATTAGGCCTATGAAAACCAATCTGCCTCGAAACATTAGTGACGGCAGCTACACACCCCGCGCTATTAGACGGAGTGTGTACAGCGGCTACCGCCGCTGTTGACACAGATTGATCCATTATGGAACCCCATAAGTTATAGTGAACACGAGGAACTGCCGCCGTAGTGGCGGCGGTAGCAGTTAAGCCGTGAAAGGCAGGGATTTCGGGTTGTCCAAGGAAGGCCGGCCGGGTGGGGTCATCGGTGGTGTTGGATCCGAGGATGTTTGAGGAGGGAAAGGTGACCCCAATTAGGGGTTGTTGTTCATGATGACGATGGTGATTATTGGGTGACGGAGATGGTGGCGCGTGGGAGAAATTGGCGAGATTGAGCGCGTGGGAGGGAATAGTAGTAGTATTATTAGTGGTGTTGGGATTGACGAGGAGCATGTTTTGTGTTGGGTGTTGCGCCGCATCAGAGTAAGGTACGTAGTTTGGGTTCATAAGGTAAAGTGTCTGCAACCCTTCTGCGGAGGATTGGATTTCTGAATTGCTGCCATGAAAGTACGTAGCCATGTCCGTCCAAAATTCTCTCTTTTTTTCTGGTCCCTATACCAAACCTGATAATACAATGATGACGATGATATATAGTTATATAGTTACTCTTTCTTTCTCAAACTCTATGCAAAACGGGGTCACGGGGACAAATCAAACCTTTTCTGCTTGTTTGTGCGTCTTGATCTGAACAACTTGATTATCCCCTTTAATTTGAAGCTTTCTTTTGGTTAATTCCTTGGTAGTCACAGATCCTAAAAAACAAGCCAAAAGAGAGTGGTTTCAGTTAATGAATCCAATAAATTACCTTAAATTTTACAAAAAGGAAAAAACACACACATGGCTTATGGAACACAGCAGAGAAGGAGAAAGAGAAAGAAAAAGAGAAGGTTTGTAATTTATGGAAATTTCATTTGGGTGTGGCTGAAGAGAGATATCAGATATACACACACGGGATCTTATATGAAAGGATTAAGAAACTGTAAAAAGGAAAAAAAGGTAGAAAATGGAAACGATGGCATCATGAAATTAAGATGGTATATGTATGCTCTATGTATGTAGCTATTATCTCGGTTGTGAAATGAAGAAATTAAAGCAACCAGTTCCATTGTGACCGTACCATTCTTTATTATCGATGAAAAAAGAAAAAGGTAGAAGCTTGAGTTTCCTTCCCACACGAGGAGGAGGGAGAGAAGAAGGATGGTAGCTAGAAAGGTGCTGTCTAGCTAGACAAACTGTCCATCATCGCGGGGCATGGGGAGCAAAAGCTAGCCACCCTTTTGCTTTCAAAGCGATTGGGTTACAACTTTGGAGAGTTTAATTGGAGTTTGCTTGTTGGCTCTGCTGTCTCAGTATTCTCTGCAATGCTTAATTTCCTCCAAGTGATTTTTTTTTGTATATAAATTTATTAATGATATTTAAAACACAGGTGGTGGATGAGTGATGTGAGATTGATTTGTAAGTGTGGTCCGTTTAATATTTCATAAAGTTTTTATTATATTATGAACGGTTTATTTTATCTTGTATATGCTAAAATATTAATAAATATTAGTTTTTTTAAAAATTGTATTTAATATTATTTATAAATTAAATTTTATAATTTTTAATAAAATGACTATTTTTTGTGTATTTTTTAGTACAAACTAAAAAAATTCTATTAAGAATTAATTAGTCTGTCTACTTGTATTTGTGAACAATAATAGACATGCAGCTCGCGCGTAATTTTCTTGTTTTGTTGTACACTCTCACGCCTAGTGTTAGCTATACCTATATATTATCCACAATTTCTTCTTTATTTATTTATTTTCCTTTTTTCCTTTGGTGTTTGGTTGGTACGCATTGAAATTTGCAATTTTCATGTACGTATATAGATCAACTTGCTTTTTAACCGTCACCACCTCCCAGCACTTGAAAAAAAGAAGTGTAATTGACACAATCACATTCGTATTGAGAAATTCTATAAATAGAGAATAGAAACTATGAGAGAGAACATTTTAAAGAAAATATAGAAATTAAAGTGGGGTATGAGATGGAAGACTTAAGAAAGCAAGTAGCAAGACAAGGGATTGATCTTGATCAAAATCTGACCCTTGGCTATTCGAACCTTACAATAACTCCTTCTCTTTGGTCTCTACTGCTTTTCCTTTTCATATTTACCCTTTTTTATAAAATTTGAAGTTTTAAGTCTATCTTCTTTGTCCCTTTTTTCTTTATTCTGTGGTTGGAAGTAGAGGATAAAATAAAATAAAACTAATAAAAAAATATATTACCATATTATATCTGGATCTGCCTTTTTCTCTTAACCATAAAATACTAAAAAATCTGAAGAACCACCACATTTCAATTTATATTCCAATGTTACTAAAATGACTCAAATTACCTGCATAAATTGATTTAATTTCTCATTTGAACAACTGGTATGAATAGTGAAATTAATAGCTCAAGGCGTATACCACCACATGACCACTAATGATGCTCGCGTTATGCACTATATATGTACAGACACCACTAAGCACTATGCATGTGCCACAAAAATATATATACGAAAAATAATATTTGTAGAAACATATGAACTACAAAATTGTCCCCACAAAATGTCTGTGTCACTTAATGAAAGATCATACCCACCAATGAATTCTTATCTTTGCTTGGAAAGGTAAAATAAAAAGTTGGTTTCAATTAATTATGATGCATTTAGGGCCACATTTACTTAATTGCGTTGTCGGTCTCCAGAATATCCAGCAACTAGTTAATTATCATGTGGATTTGAACATGTGTAAGCTATTGACTATTTTATTTGAATGCAGTATATCATTTGAAAGTTCAACTCAGATGGGTGAAAATGCACTCCTTATACTTCCTATTAATATATTTATTTGACTTATCAAAAAAACTTTGTGAAAATAGATGTAGAGGTCTTGAAACTAATTGCATGTTAATTTTCCTCTCTTTAATTCCCACACTTATAAAATAATTTCAATATGATGACATGTGATTGGGACTACTAATTACAAATATAAACAATATTAAACTTATTAATAATGCAGGAAAAATATTATAGTTATATTTTCTTTCTAAGATCTTAAAATGCATTGATTTTGGCATTGGAATTGATACCTATATAACTGATCTAAAATTTATTTTACTTTTTAACTAAATTAATCTAGTCAAATTCCTTTGGTGTTGCTGTTTGATTCCCTACCTATACACCTTAAAAAACAATTCAAAACATTTCTTTTCTTTTTACTTTCTGCTAAGATGTATAACACATATTGTAAGAATATATAGATTTTAGGTGTAGATGTATTATTGTTATTACTTTAATATATAACTTGGGAAAAGAATTACTCTAAGCTTACATCACTGTCCAAATGACACTAAAGCTAAATCATTATTCGTGTTAAAACTTTTTCAACCGTATTCAATACCTTTACATTGGAAAGTGACATTTTGAAATCATCGTGGACAATACATTGAGATCACTTAAATAAGTGATCACTTCTCATAGCTTACACCATATATTCAGGAGAAAATATACCCTAAACTAATTAAAATTTCATGAGTTTCGTTTCAAAGAAAATTGTATTTTTAATTGCAAATGAATAAAAAAAATGCATTAAAAGTTTAATAAAAGTTTGTGTAAGAAAATAACTGATATTTAAAAAAACATTTATATTACCTAATAATCAAAGTTAATGAAAATATACACATAAAAAAGCATATGCTTATGCACATATGCGTATATGGAAAATATATTTATATTCTTAAAGGAGTAGCTACAAAATAAATTATTAATTCTTATTTAGAAGTTTTCTATTCTAAAGAAAGTTTAAATATTTACATTGAGACTTATACATAATAAATTATCCTCAAAATCTAATCATAGTAACATGAAATATTTCAGGATACAACAAATTGTATATTTTGTTTTTTTTTTTTAAATACTACCCATCTATTTCTCTCTTACTCTTATAACGCAATTATAGAATTAATGTGTGTAATGAAAGAATATATTGTTTGTCTTTGAGTGTCACATATCAGGTTTGTTAAATAGAAATATTGTATGAAACATTTGAATCAAGTGTAGATGGTAGTGTTTTGTGCAATCCTTAGAGCGGTACGTCAGGTATAGTATGAAAGAATTTTTTCAAGCACAGTCATCACAATTGCAAAGTTTTTTTTGTCTAGAATAGAATGGTTGGCTTGGGAATGAAATTTTATGAAAGGAAAAAAGTGTTCTTATTCAGCCATAAATTACAATATTATCAGAATTGGATAACAGACTAAGTGAAGTTAATGTCTTAAGGTTCTCTTAATTTGTATGATTGTCAATAGCCATTAGTTTATTACAGCTCTATGCATAACTAAATTCTTATTTTTTTAACATGCTTTTGTAAATTTATGAGTACCATCGATATCTTATTAATATAATTTATATTATTGTTGATAAGAAAAATAAAATATTGTTAAAAATATTGTAAAAAGAAATTTGATTTTACGTGAAATATAGTTAGTCTGTTGATGTATACATGTTAAAATTTTTAGAGAAATGATTGAATATATTTCATAGTTTAAAAAATAAATATTTTGATATGATGTATTTATTGATGTAAGATTTATTGATACTGGCTTACTTTAGCGTCAACAAATTATCTCCATATATACACTGACTTATATGCTTCAATCATTAAAGAAGTGAAGAAAATATGCACACTATGTTGATAGGTTTTATCAAATTCTTGTATAATAATTATATATTAATCAATGATGATTGAAACACAAACAAATTTTCATACAAAATAAAACTCAAAACCATTTTGTAATCTCTTTATTATATTTTTACCAATTCATAAAAACACAAATTCTTTCTTTTCTTTCTTATCCCAAAAAAATCATCAACTTTTCACCCAACGATTATCCGTGATTTTGTATGCGTACTTCACATAAATGATTTTATACGTGATTATTTAACAAAAGCTAGTGAAAGCAAAACTTGAATATAATTTTTCTAAAAGACATGAATTAATATTATAATTTGAAACACATTCTTGTTTTATCCCATGCCTTTCACGTGTTTGTTACGGACATTTATAGAATTTTAATTTATTTTATCTGATCTATGTAAGATACTTTATGCTGACATACATGTATCAAAGGACTAGAATTAATAATTACTCTGTTTAGTCCAAAAATCTGTTTGGGTGTATTAAATCTTCTTTTCGTCCTTTTTATGGTCACATCCAACAATAGCCCATGTGTAGGCATCCTTACACTTTTTAATTGCAATAAATATTGTTAGCTGTAAGAGCTTTATTTTATTTTATTTTTCGAACGGCAATGCATGTAACGTATGCTTTGCAATAAGTAGAAGTGAAAGTTGAAAACGTCAAACGTAATAGAAGAAGATTAGGGTTAACAATTTTCTGTTCAATTTTGATTGGTGGTTCTTTGTTAAACATTGATTATAAAACTAACGATAAAATTAACTTTCCCTCCAAAAGTTAATGTGGTATAACATTATTCTTCCAAGGATATTAATACTAAACTTGTCTGTCAAGTGTCCAAGATATAAAACATGAAGGAAAAATAAAGTCCTTTTATATTATTATTAATTCATTTTTATTAAAAATCTAACATGATAATATTCTATTTTTTTAAATTAATTTAATAACTAACTTTAAAAAGTGAATGTGGTAATATCTTAATATCTAGATCACGTGTTTGGACATTTAATGTTTGTATATCCCGACCTTATTTTTACTTTCCTTTAACTGTTTAACACCAAGCAATAAAAGAAAGAAAGACAAACGATTGGATAAAAAACACATTTTACTTTTGAAAAGATTAATTTTATTGATCTATTAATATAGGGATTTTTATATTATTTGTTGGAAAATCAGACCACTTTTGTAGAAGCAAATTTCTCTCCTTCCATGTGACTTAAAATAGGCTTAAGAGAACGTAAAAAAGAAGAGAATAATATATAAGAATTTTAAAGTAAAAAAAATTTTCAATGTGAAAAATAAAAATAATAGGTACTAACTAGTAAAGATTTCCATTATAAAAGTAGAATTACAATAATTCTTTCTAAGATAATACTCAACTTCATCCTTCTAAGATGGTATACAAATTATCTCATCAAGTGTGATAAAAATTACTCAATTTCTCTCTAAAAGAGAATTACAAACATTCTCACTTTGATTTTTAACTCTCTAGTTAAATTGATGCTCAAGTTTCTCTCAAATCTTCTATTTATAATGAAGGAGTAAGACTTCCACCAAGAAGAAATAGTGAGTTTTAAATGACTTCCACATTTTTAAAGATGAATCACTACATTTCAGATGAATGTATATGTTCTCAATAGTTAAGGTAATAATTTCAAGACATTGGATAAATACATTGTTTATTTTCCATGCATGAATATACA